TGTTGGCCACACCCCACTTAAGCATCTCTAAAATCCTGATGTCCCTGCCCCATGACATAATCATTATTCAAAAAGTGAGCTGCTATTCACGGGAGGAAGCCTAAAAGGCCATTAACTTGGTCTAAACAAGCTTCCAAAGAACATGGCATCCATGAAAGAGAAAAATAAAAGAACGAAAGGACAGGTGAAGTACGGAGGAAAAAAATCACTACGAGATTGTTAAGAAAATAATAATATGAAGTGACAAGAAAAAATAGCAAAGTTTCAAAACATAATAGAGAACTGAAATGCATAAATATGGCATGATGTATATGAATAGGCTGTATATGAGGCCCCTAGAACCATAAGAAATGCAAAAAATTGTTAATAACTCATTCTCGAATTTACCCCCTTAAAATCAAATTCCCCCTGTGGGGCGTGTGCCCCATTGGGAACCACTGATTTAAACCTTGCTGAGACTCAGTTTCCTTATTTGAAAAATGACAATAATCTCTTCCTAGCTGAAGATAAGGTGTGTAAAACATTAGTGCAGTTTTTATTTTTTAAATATATATTTTATTGATTTTCTTACAGAGGAAGGGGGAGAGATGGAGAGCTAGAAATATCAATGAAAGAGAAACATCAACCAGCTGCCTCTTGCACACCCCCTACCAGGGATGTGCCCGCAACCAATGTACATACCCTTGGCTGGAATTGAACCTGGAAACTTTCAGTCCGCAGACCAATGCTCTACCGCTGAGCCAAACCGGTTTTGGCGCATTCGTGCAGTTTTTAGAATGTGGGCAGTGTTCAGTGATTATAAACTTTTGTTGTCACAGTGAATTCTCTGACCCTCTATTCTTTCCTGCCTGGCTTTGTGCACACTGCTGCTTCTGCCATACATTCCCCTGCTCCCTCCTGGGGAGCTGCCGCTTAGCCATCATCTCCACTTCCACCATCCTCATCTTCCAAAGTACGCTTAGTTGCCCTTTTGTGCCCCATTGCCTTTTGTTACTTTCCTTAACGTGCTTAACATTTTATATGACCACCAGAGGTCTGGTGCATGAATTCGTGCATGGGTGGGGTGCATCGGCCTGTTCAGCAATCATTGGGGCCCCGTCTCATCCAATGCAGGGGGGAGGAGGGACCATGGGAGGTTGGCTGGATGCTGGATCAGGCTGATAGGGACTGGCAGGCTGGGGGAAGGGGCTGCATGAGGTTGGCCTGCTGTGGGAGTGCACCAACCACTAGGGGGCAGCTCCTGCATTGAGCATTTGCCCCCTGATGGTTAATGCACATCATAGCGTCCGGGCAACTGGCCAGCCAGTTTTTCGGTTGACCAGTCGTAATGGTTGCTTAGACACACACATATATATATATATATATATATATATATATATATATATATATATGTATGTTTGTACATGTTTATCTTCCCAACTAAGCTGAACAGATGCTCCAACCAGTAGGTGAGCTTGCTGCTGGGGTCCAGTCAATCAGGACTAGACAAGATGGGCCGGATTCACCCTGGAGCCCTCACACAGTCCCTTTCTGGCCCTGATTGTACACCAGTGGGGTCCCTCAGCCTGGCTTGCAGGGATTGGGCAGAAACTGGCAGTCTGACATCCCTGAGGGGTCCTGGATTGCAAGAGGGCGCAAGCCAGGCCGAGGAACCCCACTGGTGCATGGATCGTCGATACTTCTCTAACGATGGAATTGGCGATAACATCAGTAAAACTGCTCAGGTACTGTGTTCCAGGGACTGAGCGAGGTATTTTATAAGAAGTATCTCATTTCATCCTCAAACAACCTTTTGATGTAGATAATCATGAGTGTGTCCATTATTCACATGAGGTGAAGGGCCTGGCCTAATTTGCTTATTGCCATACAGCTGGAGAGAGCTGGGATTTGAATTCAGGTATTTCTGGCCCGGAAGCTGGTCCTTGGACCACTAGCTGTCTGTCACAGAATAGAGAGGACGATTTTGGCATGGGAGGGATAGTTAGACCAAAGTCTTACAGGTTTTCCGACTCTGAGATTCCTTGGTTCTATGTTAGTGGTTTACAGCAGATAGAGCTTCTACAGTTTATATACCATATTTTGGGCTTGGTCAGAAAATGCAGAGGAAGGAGGAGGCCTGGCTCTCATATGTTTGTGGTTAACAGGGAGAGGAACATATTCCCATGAAAAAAGTAATATCAGGAGTAATATGCCTATGAACACATGAAAACTGTCCTTACTGCTGAGGAGGTTATGCGTTCCTGGGAGTGGCTGAGGTTAGCCAGGGAGGGCTGCCTGGAGGAGGTATTTGAGCCACTTTTCTTTTTTCTTTCTAGATTCTAGGATTGGCAGGAGATGGATGAGTGCAACTGGATGGCCCCTCCCCTACAATTGTTATGGCTCATTGACAGTGTCCAGCCCGGAGGCCAGTAGAACTCATCACATTCATCTGGCCTGTCGGTAAGTGCTACGTAGAGGACATCACCGACGGTTCTGAGGTCATGTGGCTACTACGATTGGCATTCTCAGGCTTGGAAGGGAGTGTTAGGACCGTGCCATGTACTTGGAGAAACAGACCTTGGCTGCTGTCTTAGACATCTCATCTTCCCTGCTACCCCTGTAGTCCAGGTTATCGCAACCTCTCACCTACACTAGCTCACGGTTTCTTATTAATCTCTCTGCAGCCACTTGGATCTTCTCCCTTCTAATCTGGCCCCCATTCCAATATGCATTCCCAGTGGCTGCCAGAGTGATCTTTCCAGAAGGCATATCTAAAAATACATACGTTTCCTGGCTTTCTCATTTTAAAGGCCCGCTTCTCGGCATGGCCTGGCTTCCGCCCATGTCTCCAGCAGCGTCTGCAGCCATGCTGCTGCTTGCTTGGTGTGATTTCCTGCCGCAGGGCCTTTGCACGTGATGCTGATTCTGTGGGAACTCCTTTTCCACTCTCTGTCCAGTGAATATGTACCTGTCCTCAGCGTAGGCTCTAAGTCCAAAGCTCTCACCTCGTTTATAATTGTACATTTCTGTGACTTTGGGATGTTTGTCATCCTCCTTGAGGTCATAGCCCGGGGAAGTAGCCCCTGAACGGCTTTTATCACAGCCATGAGTAAACGCAGCTCCCTGCATGGTGCACGAATGAGTAAATGACCTCTGGCAGCCATTAAATAAACATGGTTTCTCTTCTCTTTCTCTTCCTCAGTCCAGTAGTTCCTGCTCTTTTGACCCAGGCCCTGCCCACTCTTCTCTGGATCTAGGCAAGATGAGGAAAGACCATAGAAAATAACCCACACTTTATTTAAAAAAAAAAAAAATTAAAAAAAAAATTAAAAAGATATATATATTATTGATTTTGTACAGAGAGGAAGGAGAGGGATAGACAGTTAGAAACATCGATGAGAGAGAAACATCGACTAGCTGCCTCCTGCACACCCCTTACTGGGGATGTGCACTGCTCTCGGTCTTTCTGGCTCTGCCTCTGCAGAGTCCATTGTGTGGAGTCTGCAGCGCTAGGTCCGCAGGGCGTCCTGGGGCTCCTGTGGCAGAGGCCAGGTTCGCGCAGGGCCCCCGCCGCGGAGGGAGAGGTGCTGCTGCATTAGCCCGCCTCTTGCCGTGCTGCCCGGTGGTGCCAGGGGAGCGAGAGGTGGCAGAGCCTGCGCCCTGCGCGGCCTGAGGCCAGACCCCTCGCTTGCCCACCCCTCAGCGGTCAGGCTGCAGAGGGGCCTCGGTAACGGCCCCTTGTGGATCCCTCGCAGGGTCAGGGTCCCTCTCCTGGAGTCTGGAGCAGATTCAGAAGGACCAGGCCTGGCCGTTTCCTGGGCTCACGGTGCCGGCTGCTCCCGCCTGTGTGGACACTTTTCCTGCCCGCTCCTCTGGTCAGTGGCAGCGCCGAGAGGCCAGGCCCTGCTCCTCAGACCACTGTGGTGGCAGTGGGGCTGGCGCCTCCTCAGGGGGCACAGCCAGTAGGGGCGGCAGCTACTCTACAGGCGGCTTGTCTCTGTTACCGGGTGACAGTGTGGGTGCTGCCGTCCGGGAGGGTGGATAGGCCTTCGGGTCCCGGGTGGTTACGGGGACGGGAAAGGAGCAGATCCAGAATGGCACCAGCATGGCAGTTGGAGCATTTGGCACCGCTCCGCCCCCAAAGCTAGAAACCTTGGATTCCAGATGGACTCCTCTCCCCTCTTTCCTCTCTCGTCCTCATCCTGCTGACATCAACGCGTCCCTCGCATCTGTTCCTCCCCTCCGTTCTCGCTGCTCCTGCCCTCTCACCGGGATGGCAGCCTCCTCCATGGTTCTGGGGCCCAGTCTCCTTCTCTGATCCAGCCCTGCCACCCTGCCAGGCTCTCATTCTAAAGAGAGGCCACCGTGTCATTTCCTGTCACTGAAGCCCACAGGGCAGGGTCAAGGCTCTTAGACACGGTCTGCCCAGCTTCCCACCTCTGCCCCCGCCACGCACTGGTGCCCAGCTCCGGAGGCGGTCTGCGCGGTGCTCCCACGCCTGGCGTGGCTCTCCCGCTCAGACCCTAGGGGCACTCCTCCTCGCCAGTGCTCGAGCGGGTGTGCTCTCTCCGCTGCGTGGCTGTTGAGGATGAGTGCACTGCCTTCCCTGGACGGGGAGCTCCCGAGGGCGCTGTCAGGTGTAAACGGCCCTGTTGAGACGGGTGACATGGGGGCTGTTGGTACCTGGCGGGGGTGTGGGAGGCTGTGTGCGTTGTGTGCTGTTGATTGTTTTGGTCACTAGGGCTTTCTGGCCAGGCTCCTGTGCTGTTCGTTCTTTCTTCATTTGAGGGGTAGGAAGCCAGCCTCTTGAATCTGGTTCTCAGATCTCCTGTGGCCACCGAGGGTTCAGCATGACCTTCCGGCACAGAGCCGGGAGGCCCGGTTCCCTCGGCATCTGGCACGTTCCCAGCGGGGTGGCTTGCGAGGTCTGGTTGGACCGAGGGGCCACGATGCAGCTGACTTGGTCTCCTCTAAGCCAGGGCCCCCCTCTCTCTCTGTGTAGGCCCGGAGCCCAGACAGCAATGGCTGGGAGACCCATCCGCATAGGAGACCAGCTGGTGCTGGAGGAAGACTATGATGAGACCTACATCCCCAGTGACCAAGGTAAGAGGCCTGGTGTGCGCTGCCCTCGCTCTTCCAGGGCAGGGTCCCCTCTGACTTCATGCCCTTCTTCTGAGGCCAGGATGGTCCATGCACAGGGCTGCTCATTGGCAAACTGTAGTCCATGGGCCTAAGCTGGTCTGTGGCTTGTTTTTTCTAAAAAAATATTTTTATTGATTTTAGAGAGGAAGGGAGAGGGAGAGAGAGAGAGAAATATCAATGATGAGCCTGACTGGAATGCTTCAGTGTTGAGCGTTGACCTATGAACTAGGAGATCAAAGTTCGATTCCCGATCAGGGCGCATGCCTGCGTTGTGAGCTCAATTTCCAATGTGGGGCGTGCAGGGGGCAGCCAATCAATGATTCTCTCTTATCATTGATGTTTCTATCTCTCTCTCCCTCTCCTTTCCTCTCTGAAATAAATAAAAACAAACAAACAGAAAAAACACACACAAAAAAAATCTCCTTAAAAAAAGAAAAAAAAAGAAATACCAATGATGAGAGAGAATTATTCATCGGCTGCTTCCTGCACTCCCCTGTCAGAAGATCATGCCCTGACCAGGAACTGAACCATGACCTCCTGGTTCATAAGTCAATGCTCAACCACTGAGCCATGCTGGCTGGCCTGTTGCTTGTTTTTATAAATAAAGTTTTATATACAAAACAGCCATGCTTGTCCATTTATAATCTGTGGCTGCTTTCATGCTGCAAGGGCATTGCTGAGAAGTCGTGACAGAAAGCATATGACCCACAGCCTAACATATTCACTGTCTGACCCTTTCTAGAAAAAGTGCTGGCCTTGGATTAGACCAGGGATTAATTTAAATGAAAATAGTATGGGCCCTGACCCATTTGGCTCTGTGGGTAGAGTGTCGGCCTGTGGACTGAAGGGTCCCAGGTTCGATTCTGGTCAAGGGAAGGTACCTTGGTTGAAGGCACATCCCCAGTGGGGGGTGTGCAGGAGGCAGCTGATCGATGTTTCTCTCTCATCGATGTTTCTAACTCTCTATCCCTCTCTCTTCCTCTCTGTAAAAAATCAATAAAATATATTAAAAAAAAAAAAAGAAAATAGTACGGGATATTATGAAATGCAGTGTGTGCTGAGGCCAGGGGAAACTCAATTTCTTAAGAACAAACTAAAGCAGTGTTTTTTCTTTAAACAACAACATAACATTATCAATAACCATAAAAACAAAATCCTACGCATTCTCTGTAGTCAGAACTCTCTGTACCTCCTCACAGGAAGTCCTGAGTCAGGTGCTTTTATTGTCCCCGTTTCACAGAGGAGGAAACCAACAAAGGCGAAGTGACTTCTCTGCAGTCACACAGTTCTCCTAGCAGTAATCTTCTATTTTTTAAATTTTTATATATAAAAAAACGGAACACTTCACGAATTTGGGTGCCATCCCGGTGCAGGGCACGCTGACCTGCGCTGTACGCTCCCGTGTTAGTCCGTGTGCTGCAGAAGCAGGCAGCACCCAGTCTTCTTCTTCTTCTTTTTTTTTTTTTTAAATATATTTTATTGATTTTTCACAGAGAGGAAGGGAGAGAGAGAGAGCCAGAAACGTCGATGAGAGAGAAACATCAACCAGCTGCCTCTTGCACACCCCCTACTGGGGATGTGCCCGCAACCAAGGTACATGCCCTTGACCGGAATCGAACCCGGGACCTTTCAGTCCGCAGACCGACGCTCTATTCACTGAGCTACACCGGTCTCGGTGGCATCCAGTCTTCTTAAGGCCAGCGCTTCGAAGCACTGTGCCGTTTTTGGGGGTGAAGATTCTTTTGAAGTTGTCATGAATTATGGACCTGGACACACACATTCTGCTTGTAATTCAGATGTTTGAAGGCCTGTTGGGGGCGGGAAAGATCTCTTTCACCCTCATTACCCCTGGGCTTTGCGTAGAGCAGATTTCTGTTTGTTGCCGTGCAGAAATTTTTAATTTTCATGTTAAATGTGTTCGTCCATTCTCACGTGGCCTCTGGATTTTGTGTCACAGTTAGAAAAGCCTTCCTACCGCAAGGAGGAATGTGTTTCCCTCCGGGTCTGTGCCGGCACCATCGCCGGTCCCCACCCCTGGGGGCTGCCGTTGGCCTCCGGTCCCCTCCCTCCTCTTCCACGGGACGGTCTGCCCATAGCGGGAACGTGTGCCCGATCCCTGAGGCTCAGCACTGAGTCCTCTGTCTAGCAGGCGGAAGGCCCTCCTCTTCCTTATTTTATCTCCCCGTGATCTTCAGTTCCGGGCAGCGCCTGGGGGTGGGGACTTGGCATCTGGGTAAAAACTGTGTTCACTTTATGAATGGCCCTGGGAAGAGAGAGGTCTCTGTGAAGCTGTCTTCCTTCCCGTGGGTGTCTTTTTCTCTTTCTCAGAGTGATTTAACTTTATTTTCATACAGGTTTTGTACATTCCTTGCTCATTTTGTTTCTTAAATATCTCATCTTTAAATTAAAAAAATTTCAATTTCAGTTTACATTCAATATTATTCTCTGTTAGTTTCAGGTGTACAGCCAAGTGGTTAGAAAATCTTGTACTTTACAAAGTGGTCCCCCCTGCTGCTTCACCTGGCCTCGACATAATTGTTACTATTTTTTCATAATCCAACCCTGACCTCCCAGATCATAGGTTGACGCTCAGCTTCTGAGCTGCACCGGCTGGTGATACCGACTGTATCCCCTGTGCTGACCTGCACCCCTCTGCCTCTGTGTGGCCGCCTGTTAGCGCTGCTCAGCCCCCGTTAACGAGTCCAGTGTTTTCCTCAGGTTCTTACTAAGCACTCTCTCTGCTCAGCCCAAGCTTCCGAGTCCTAAGCCCACCCCATATTCCTCTCCCTGGGCGCTCAGTGCTCCCCAATTAGCCTCTCTGCTACATCCTCGCCCTTTTCACCTGCTCTGCTGAGCACAGGAGTGTTCTCGTTAAATGTAGGCGGGTCATCTGAGGGCTCTGAGGGTTAGAATCTTCCGTTGTGCTCAGTCAGCCTCACACCCGCAGCGGCGTGGGCAGGCTCTGCAGGATGGCCGGGCGCACCTGGGCCGCGTCTCCTTGCTCATCCTGCCGGTCACCTGGCCTGTCTGACCGTCCCCCGGGGCCGAGCTGCTTGTTGCCACGGCCCTTTGAGCTGCTCTTCTGCCTGAGTGCCTTCTTCCCTCAGGTCCCCTGTGGCATCCTTCCGAGAAGCCTTCCTTGACTCTTTGTTTTTTTAGGCTGTTTATTAATCATTCACTTTGGCCCTTTTTAAAAACTATGTTGTTATTGCCCTAGCTGGTTTGGCTCGGTGGAGAGAGCGTCAGCCTGCGGACTGAAGGGTCCCAGGTTTGATTCTGTTCAACGGCACATGCCCAGGTTGTAGGGTTGATCCCCAGTGGGGGACGTGCAGGAGGCAGCCAATCAGTGATTCTCTCTCATTATTGATGTTTCTAGCTCTTTCCCTTTCCCTTTATCTCTGAAATAAATAATGGTATATTAAAAAGTGCATTTTTGTTGATTTCTTACAGAGAGAGGGAGAGGGAGGGAAGGTAGAAACATTGATGATAGAGAAACATTGATCGCTGCCTCCTGCACATCCCCTATTGGGGATCGAGCCCACAACCAACCCAGGCTGGGGCATGGACAACGCCCAGTCCACGGAGCCACGCTGGCCGGGCTTGCTTGGCCCTTTCTTAAAGGTGCCTCTCCACTGACCTCCATCTCAGGCCGCATCTGCTTCCTTCCTGATGTTTATCAGCAGCTTCTCTCTGTGCATCTTCATCGGCTCTCCTTCCTGGTGCTGCGTCTGCTGGACGCAGGCTCCTGTGGGCAGAGGCTGATTCCCTCTCACCCATACCCACGCCCATGGTGACTGTACAGGCGGCACTCAGAGCCACTGCGAATCAGTGACTGAGGTGGCCCCTGGCCGCCGCATGCCCGCTGGGCCTTTGAGAAAGTTCTTTTGTTTCCTAATGCCCAGGTTTGTCACCCTCCAGCAGGATGAGCATTCTGCGATGCCTCTCTGGCCAGGGCTCAAGCACTGATGCCCTGGGAATGTGCTGTCCCTCGGAGTTGGGGTGTACCGTCTTCCCGGCACGTGGGCGGTTCCTGGGAGCTCTGGCGGGGATTTTCATCGTGTAGACGTGATCCGTGAACTCATGTCCAACCCTCTCCCCTCTGGAGAATGGGGGGTGAGCCTCAGAGCTCCAACCTTCCAATCATGGCTTGGTCTCTGGTGACCAGGCCCATCCCGGGCGCCCAGGAGCCCGACCAGGTCTCCTCGTTGGGCAGAAGAGCTCCCAGGACTCGGAGATTGAAGGGCGTCAGGAGCTGTTTCAGGAACGGGCAGAGACCAGCATACGTATTTCTTATCATTTCACAGGTTGATTGTGACTTGTGTTTCTTTTCATCCACCTCTCCACTTCTCTTACTTTTCTACCCTCCTGCTTCTCCTTGCAGAAATCCTTGAATTTGCCAAAGAGATAGGTATTGATCCCAGCAAGGAGCCGGAGCTGATGTGGCTGGCCCGGGAGGGCATCGTGGCCCCGCTGCCTGCGGAGTGGAAGCCATGGTAAGTCAGCAAGCTGTGGCCCAGACGTGCCCGCCAGAGGTGAGGAGCCTGGCATTGGAGAGCCGCGCTGACCAGCCACCTTCCATAGCCTGTCCCGCCCGGAGCTAGGCACAGCGATGGGCACTGCTCCCTGGGCTGCCTGAGGCCGGGGCACAGCGATGGGCACTCCTCCCTGGGCTGCCTGAGGCCAGCGCACAGCAATGGGCACTCCTCCCTGGGCTGCCTGAGGCCAGTGCACAGCGATGGGCACTCCTCCCTGGGCTGCCTGAGGCCGGGGGTTGAGGGCACTCCTCCCTGGGCTGCCTGAGGTCAGAGGCTGGGGCACAGCGATGGGCACTGCTCCCTGGGTTGCCTGAGGCCGGGCACAGTGATGGGCACTCCTCCCTGGGCTGCCTGAGGCCGGGCACAGTGATGGACACTCTTCCCTGGGCTGCCTGAGGCTGGGCACAGCGATGGGCACTCCTCCCTGGGCTGCCTGATGCCAGCGCACAGCGATGGGCACTCCTCCCTGGGCTGCCTGAGGCCGGGCACAGCGATGGGCACTCTCCCTGGGCTGCCTGAGGCCGGGGGCTGGGGGCACTCCTCCCTGGGCTGCCTGAGACCGGGCACAGCGATGGGCACTCCTTCCTGGGCTGCCTGAGGCCGGAGGTTGGGGGCACAGGCCGACTTAATGGTCCCGTTTGTAGAATAACGGTTTCTGAGCTGTGGCCCTGTCAGGTCCGTGAGCCCGGCATCGTGTGGGCACACTCAGCCGTGTCTGTGCCTTGCAGACTCATGTGGAGACCCCGTCAGCATGCCCCGTGGGTGCGGTGCTGTGAGGTCTGCGGAGGCTCAGGCGGCAGGGGCTTCAGCTCCCTGGACAGCCCGTCCCCACGTTTGAGTGATCTCTTTGGGAGCACGCTCATGTTCACGGCATCGTTCATATTTTCGGGTGCAGCTGTGTGGATAGTGAGGAGCAGAGACTCAGTCAGGGTGTCTCAGGGGAGCAGGTGGAGGGTGCGGAACAGACTGCCTCCCTTCTGAGGCCATTGCCGTGCACAGGGCTCTCCCCAGGCTGCCTCCCCACTGAGTGCTCTACTTCTGCTTCCTGTGGTAGCACAGGTTTGCCGTATGCTTGTCCGGCACTCGTCCCCAGTGCTGAGGGGTCCTCGCTGATGCTGCCTTGTGTGAGGTCTGATTATTCTGTTATTTTTCTTTTCTTTCTTCTTCTTCTTTTTTTTTTTTTTTTTTTTTTAATACATTTTCATTGATTTCAGAGAGGAAGAGAGAGATAGAAAGAAACATCAGTGATGAGAGAGAGAATCATGGATCGGTTGCCTCCTGCAAGCCCCATACTGGGGACTGAGCCACAACCCGGGCATGTGCCCTTGATCAGAATTGAGCGCAGGTCCCTATAGTCCGTAGGACCACACTCTTTCCACTGAGCCACACCAGCCAAGGCCTTCCTGTTCTCGTCCATTCATTTAATGTGTTGGCTGTACTTGGGAATGACTGCAGTGGCAGCCTCGCTCATCTCCGCTGGACAATCGGAAGCCTTTAGCTTCCTACCTGCAGCCTCCTGTCCTCTGGGTCTTTTCAGAGGCATTTCTTTGGACCTTCTCTAGCTTTCTTTTCTTTTAAAAATATATATATATTTTATTGAATTTTTAAAGAGAGGAAGAGAGAGGGATAGACAGTTAAAAACATCGATGAGAGAGAATCATCGATCAGCTGCCTCTTGCACACCCCTACGGGGATGTACCTGCAACCAAGGTACATGCCCTTTACCAGAATTGAACCCGGGACCTTTCAGTCCACAGGCCGACGCTCTATCCACTGAGCCAAACCGGTTTTGGCCTTCTCCAGCTTTCTGACATCTTTCTTGCAGTTAGTCCTTCAGTACCGTACACTGTGTTCCTGGAGCTGAAGGGTCGTGTTTGTAGAATAACGGTTTCTGTTTTGTTTCCAATATCCATCCTGATATTCACATTTGCCTTCTCTATTAGCTTCTATCTTCTATTTCTCTCTGTTTTTAACTTTGTACGTTTCTGTGTTTTGCTTTTGGATATGTTGTTTTTTTAAAAATAAATCTTTATTGTTTATATTATTACAAATGTACCTCATTTTTTTCCCCTCCATTGCTCCCCTCCACCAGGTTCCCACCCCACCTCTGCCCTTTCCCCACCCCCCATTGTCCTCATCCATAGGAGCAGAGTTTATGTTCAGTCTCTTCCCGCACCCCCACTCCCCTTTTCAGTCCACTCCCCTTCCATACCTCTGATTCTATTATATTCACCAGTTAATATTGTTCAGATTTTTTAATTCCCTTGGTTTTTAGATTCACTTGTTGATAGTTATGTATTTGTTGACATAATTTTTATCTATATCTTCTTCCTCTTCCTAAAGAACCCCTTTCAGCAATTCATATAATTCTTTTGGTGGTGATGAATTCCTTTAGCCTTTTTTTATTTGTGAAGCTCTTTATCTGGCCTTCAATTCTGAGTGATAGCTTTGCTGGGTAGAGCATTTTTGGCTGTAGGTTCTTGCTATTCATCACCTTGAATATTTCTTGCCATTCCCATTTGGCCTGCATGGTTTCTGTTGAGAAGTCAGCTGACAGTCACATGGGTGCTCCTTTATAGGTTACCTACTTTTCTCTTGCTGCTTTTAATATTTTCTCTTTGTCTTTTGCTCTTGGGATTTTAATTATGATGTGTCTTGGTGTGGTCCTCTTTGGATTCCTTTTGTTTGGGGTTCTGTGCGCTTCCTGGACTTGTAAGTCTGTTTCTTTCACCAGGTGGGGGAAGTTTTTTATCACGATTTCTTCCAGTATTCTTTCGGTATCTTGCTCTCTCTCTTCTTCTGGGACCCCCATAATTCTGATGTTGGTTTGTTTGAAATTGTCCCAGAGGTTTCTTACACTATCTTCAACTTTCTGGATTCTCTTATCTTCTTGCTTCTGTGGAGGAGTGTTCTCTGGCTCTTTGTGTTCCAAATCTTTGACTTGATTCTTGCGATCTTCCATTCTGTTTTTAGGACTCCATATAATATATTTTATTTCAGACAATGTATTCTTTATTTCTAGTTGGTCCCTTTTCATATCCTCATAGGTCTCGTTTATTTTATTGGCCTTTTCTAGGAAATTCTTGAAAAACCTTATAAGCATGGTTTTGAACTCTATATCCAGTCGCTTCTTGTCCTCCATTTCTTTTGCTTGTGATCTGTTTCCTTGTCTCGGCATTTTCACAGCTTCCCTGAGTTGGTAAGATGGCTTTGTGTGCTAAAGTGTCCTATATGGTTCAGTGAGTCAGCCTCCCAGTTACCTGAGGTGGACAGTCTTGGTGTAGCCCTTTGTGGGCTGTGTGTACAGTCTTGTTGTTAAGCCTTGCTTGTTGTTGGTATCACTGGGAAGCGTTGATCTCCATGCCAATTGGCTATGAGGATCTGAAGTATCTCAGCTAGGGGGGTTTCTGTATTCCGCTTGGATGGGGCGGAGTCTCGGGGTGGCACAGACAAGCTTTGTTGAATCCTGCACAGTTGGTTGCAGGCGCACACACCTCTTTGGTATAGGCGCAGACAAGTTTAGATTCCTGTCTGTCACTCCCTAGGAGAGTCCCATTCACTGCGAACGAGAAAGTTAGCCACTGGAAGGGCTTCTGTGGTCCGCTTGGATGGGGCGGAGTCTCGGGTGGTGCAGACAAGCTTTATTCAGCCCCTCCCTACGAGGGTCTGGTTCCTGAGTCCCACAGTAATGGACGCTGGCTTCACACACCTCCTAGAGATCTCTGCCCGCTGCCTGACAGTCTGGCCTCTCCCTGTCTGGGGCCGTCTATCAGCGCAATAGGGTGGTTCTGTTTTCCTCCCGAACAAGAAAGCTAGCTGTGCATTAGCTGTCCTCCCTCTTCGTGTGCAGGGAGTGAGCCAGCAGCGAACTCAGCCTGCCCTCTCCGCACTCTGCAAGTAAGCCAGCAGCGAAGTGGGGCAACTGCCTTTTCACTCGCGCAGTTCTCCGCACCTTCACAGTTCCTGAGGTTCAGTGTGCCTTCTTTCTCCTTCCCGGATGGTAGAGCCTCCTCTCAGCCAGCCATCTGGCGCTTCAGGGCGATGTTTCCCCTGTTTTTCAGTTCTAAATTCAAATTTGTTGTGGTAGGCTGTATTCAGGTGTCTACCCTATGCCGCCATCTTGGTTTCCTCTTTTTTTTTTTTTTTTTTTTTTAATGAAATCTATAAGAGAAATAGTATCAATATAACAACACCTTGTACACATGTGTAATAAATGAATGGCTGCAGTGATGTTGAAGAGAGGTGGATGGAAGGAAGGAACTGTCACTGGTTAAGGGCCAGCTGTTCTCCGTGTGTATGTACAGCCTCTTGTTTACATTTGTCAGTGGGTATTTGCGTTGTGTCCACCTGCAGCTGTGATGATAATGCTGCTGTGCACATCGGCATTAAAGCCCACATTCCCAGGGCCTATATACAAATGTCTGTCTGGATCCTGCATTCCTTTCTTTGGGGTATGTACCCAGAGGTTGAATTGTTGGGTCATATGATAATTCTATTTTCAATTAAAAATTTTTTTTATTGATTTCAGAGATGAAGGGAGAGGAAGAGAGAGAGAAACATCAATGATGAGAGAGTCATTGACTGGCTACCTCTTACACACTCCACACCGGGGATCGAGTCCAAAACCCAGGCATGTGCCCTGACTAGGAATTGAACTGTGACTTTGTGGTTCATAGGTTGACGCTCAACCACTGAGGCACGCTGGCAGCGCTCTATTTTCAGTTTCTGAGGACCTGCCATGTTGTTCTCCACAGCGGCTGCGCCGATTTACATTCTCACTAACAGAGCACAAGGGTTCAGTTTCTCCAATACTTGTTATTTTCTGCTTTCTTGATGCGATTATGCTAATGGCGTGGAGGGGTATTTTATTGCTGTTTTAACTTACATTTCTTTAATGCTGAGTGATGTTGAGCATCTTTCCATGTGGCCATTTGTATGTCTTCTTTTTCCACATAGCCTTCATATTCAGGACCCCTGACATTTCCCCTCTTTACTTCTGAGTATTTTCTATCTTATTTGAATAGAGATTGAGTTGTCACGTTTCACCAGGAGCCGGGTAGGGGTTCCACTGGGATCATGTGGATTAGAGGATTATTGGCTTGCTTACAGACTTGAGTCTGTTTAATCAGGAACATGGAGCCTCTCTCATTTCCCCCCTTTCCCGGGCCTTTCAGGAAAGCTTTCTGAAGCCTTTGCCCTGGGGTGCACCCTGGACTTTATGTCTTTTATATTGCTTTGTGAATGCTGTTTTTTCTGTTACTTATCCTAATGGATTATTGATAACGGTGGGTAGGGTAAATGGCTGCAGCATTTTGGGCTTGTCCATGGTGTAGTTCAAATTCTTAAGCGACCTTCTGCATCATTTTCCTCTGTTGCTGATTCCATAGCTTGGACTTGCACCTCTTCTGTGTTTGGCGGCTTTTACAAGACCAGAGCTTTCACATCGTATCTCTCTTCCCCAACCATTCATAACAGCGTTCAGCAGGGGCTGTCCTAGGCTTTATCTGTCAGGACACCGTAGCATTTGTACGTAACTGTCTCAAACCAGGTCTGTTCCTACCCCAGCCCAGCATGTTTTCCAGGAGCCCAGTGACTATATCTCCATCCAGGTTCCCATCCTGTGTTCCTGTCTGAGTTAACTCCTTCGTTCTTAGCTAAGTGCTGCCCTTCAATTTTGTGTTATCTTTTCCTGACTTCCTCTCTCCTTCTGTCTGCTCTCTCCTTTCCCTTTCCTCTAACTCCTCATCCTCTGCCTTCTTATTTTTCCCTACTTTTCCCCCAAATAGCTGTGGACTTGAGTAGGGACTAACTGCTGGCCCCTGTCACCCCAGCCAGGACATCACAGGCGACATTTACTACTTTAACTTTGCCAACGGGCAGTCCACGTGGGACCATCCGTGCGACGAGCACTACCGGAACTTGGTGGTCCAGGAGCGAGGGAAGCTGGCATCTTCTGGGGCTGTGAAAAAGAAAGACAAGAAGAAGAAAAAGGAAAAGAAAGACAAGAAGAACAAAGAGACCCCCAGAAATGCCATGGTGAGCCAGTGGGCGCGAGCTCAGAGGGGGCCAGGCTGCCACCTGAGGGATGCTGGGAACCGCTAGGTGTGTGCAGCTGGGAGGTGAAGAACAGTAGCTGGTAGTCATTTTTCGATGGTGCATCCTCCGGAGTGTGCCAGTCTTCTGGCACATTTCTCTCAGCTTCTGAAGTTGTTACTGTTTTTAAACAATTCCTTTTCCCCTTGGGAAGCACACATTACACAGTAGGGTTGGTGGGAGAGTGCCCGGCTGAGGAGGGTGCTTTGCAGGAATACCGAGAGAAGTGATGCCAGCTGCCCCTTGGAGAGGGGCACAGGGAGCAGCTGGCAGAGGCCAGGGAGCCTGGGTGAGCCCATGTGTGTCCCAGTGGTGGGATCTGGGACATCAGATGGACCACAATTGGGCTGTCAGAGCACCGGAGCCTGCCAGGTCCCTGAGAAAGGCTTTCTCCTGAGCTATCTGTGTTGCCAGGGACGAGTAACTGAAATGTGACTGCAAGGGGATAACCATGGTCTCTAGCAGCTATGGTGCTCAGATTTGAAGGTGCTTTTTCTATTTTTGTTTGTTTGTCCCTTCGGTATGTCTGCCTTTAGGAGGTAGAGCCACGCCTCATTTATAGGCAGAGAAGCCGAGTTGGAGCTGTACTGTAGGAGGCTGGCCCTCCCAGCGCCATGGCTGTGGCTGCTGTGTGACCGTGGCTGCAGTATGGCCGTGGCTGCAGTATGGCCGTGGCTGCAGTGTGGCTGTGGCTGTAGCTGCGGTGTGGCTGTGGTATGGCTGTGGCCGTGGTTACGGTGTGGCAGTGGCTGCGGTGTGGCCGTGGCTGCAGTATGGCCGGGGCTGCGGTGCAGCTATGAAAGGGAAGGGGAGCTGCCTCCTTCCCTTCACTCAGGCGTGGGCAGGCGGCAGGCGGCGGGAAGCGGGGGTCAGCGAGAGAGCACTGTCCTATCAACCGTGTCCGGTCCATTGACTTGCCCTTTGTTTATCGTCTTCATTCCCACCAGCCCTGGTGCTTCCTCCCAGGAAGGTGTCCCCTGCTGTCCCTCCCAGGCTGGGGCCGGCATTGGCTGGTTGCTCACGCACTTGCCCTTTGTCATTTCCAGGCCTGCTCATGCCTGAGAATTGGGCCCGGTGGGGTTTCGTGTGAGTGCTGCAGGGTGTGAGGGCTCTTTTAGGGTGTCTTCCCCCCCAGCACGCTCTGGCTGCCAGGCCCTCTCCTGGCAGCACCAGCTCTGCCTTGGGTAGGAGGCCGAGGCTGTGCTCCTGGGCGCAGCTCCCGGTTCCCTTCTCTCCCTGGCTCACGCCTGCGCCTGAGGAGGGGGTGATTCCTAGCGATGGCCAGCGCGGGCTGAGTGCGTGATGTACCTGAGGGCTGGCCGGCTGGCGGGTTTCAGGCTTCGGTTAGTGGTGGAGCCTGTCAGGTCAGCTCCTCCAGAGCCCACCGTAGAGAAGACGCAGGTGCCTGCGGTTGCACCCGGGCTGTGGGTCTTGGTGACGCCCCTTCCTCATCGCACGTACCTCGTAGTGCCCCAGGGTGCCACACGGCACCAGCCTGAGGGTTTGTAAGCCATTGACCTAGTCTGGCCGCCTCTTCATGAACAGGAACCGGGGGCCAGAAAGCGAAGCCCCAGGAGGCTCTGAGCGTCTCTCCCTCTTTGGCTTTCATTTTACTCGGCGGGACGGTGGGTCTCTGCTAAGGGCTTGCCTGGGCTGAGGTGGCAGGTGTGAGTCTGAGTGCTCTGTCTCAGTGTTCTCTGCATGTTTGTATCCATCTAGGACACACAGCCTGAGCAGGGACTTCTGCCTTCCTCCTCCTCTCTCCGTGGCCTGTCCCCTCTCCCAGCTCCCAGGCTTGCTGATCTGGATCTAGACCAGGACATGCAGGCTACCAGTGAGGGCTCCTTTCAGAGAGGGAAGAGCCCATGCATGCTCGGCGACACCCCCTGGGCCCTCCTGGGCTCCCCGCCCAGCAAGCTGCAGCCGCTCTCCAGAGGCCACGCCCCCCGCACCCACCAGCTGTTTGCAGATGTGGAGATAATCCTAGGCAGGGGCCCCGCCCCGGGCAGGACAGACTTAGGGGACCAGCAGGCCCTGGAGAAGCCCCAGAAGCTGACTGAGAAGATCTACCTGGGGTTCTCAGACCCCGAGATAGAAGAGCTGGAGATGAGGACCAGGCTCGGCGCTCTGGGCCCCGAGGACGGCGGGCCCCTCCAGGGCGGGCAGGAGGTGTTAGACGGCAGGAACCAGGCCTCTGTGCACCTCAGGCTCTCTGAAGCCAGCAAGGGCCCGCAGCTGACGGGGGTGCCGCACAGCACGGGCCCCGCGGGGGACGAGGGCCAGAGCCCCGTGCCCTCCGCGTCCCCCCAGGGGCACCCCTCCCTGTCCCCATGTTCTTCAGACCAGATGCTCCTGTTAGAGGGCGGCCCCGTGGGCCGGCAGAGTGTTTCTGGGGAGGGGGCGGGGGTGGGCTGGGGCAGGAGGAGGAGAGAGCCCCCAGGACTGTGGATGGGACAGGTCTCCCGGCTTGTCCACGAGGACGGCCCCGGGAGCTGCAAGGGAGCAGCGCCCACCGACCCTGGGGACCCCGCTGAAGACCCATGCCAGGGGCTTTTCCAAATGCCACCTGACACCCCGGCATCGGAGGCAGCCCCGAGAGCCGCCCCTGCCAGCGAGAGCAGACAGCCCCCCGTGTGTGCGGAGCCCCCCGAAGAAGACGGGAGACCCAGCGAGTGCGAGCCTGACTTAGAGAGCAGCAGCGGCAGCGGCCTGGCTTCTTCCCTCGGCTCGCAGGTCATGGGCGAAGTGAATAACTTCCCGTGGGACCTGCAGAGCTCTCAGGGGTCTGGGCGGGGCAGGGGTCCGTCAGGCCCCGGGCTCAGAGGGCTGCCCTCCGGCCCCTTCCTGGTGCCCCAGTTGGCCCACCTGCAGAGCTCTGCCGAGGAGCAGTCAGAGAGCGAAGACTACTCTGAGGACCAGAGGTTCTACCAGCACATCCTGCAGATGGCCAAGATCTCCCGGCGGCTGGAGGGCCTGGGGCTGCCGGGGAGCATGCAGGAGAGGCCGTGCGGAGAGCTCGCCGGCGGGGCCTGCTGCGTGGCGGCCGAGTCCTCCAGGCTGTCTAGCGTGGGGGAGCACGAGGCCATCAGAGCCCTGGAAAGAGACTCCAGGCTTCTGGCTTGGGGACCAGAGCAGCTGGAACATCCTCAGGAGGGGGCCCTGGCCCCAGCTGGGCAGGAGGCCGCTCCGCAAGCCTGTTTCCAGCCAAGCAGCAGCCTTCTCAGGCAGGCGCTAGGTGAGCTGAGCGCCAGCGAAAGGCTCGCTGTAGAGCCAGGCCAGATGCAGCTTCTCCACCAGGTAGGCTTCTCCGCATGGCCTCCAGGCCTCGGCGCCATGGCGACAGTGGGCAGGTGGAGTTGGCGTGGCAGTGGGCCCAGCAGGTCTGCTTGCCTGCACGTGCCCTCCCTTGGTAACGATGGAGCCCTTCTCTGCTCAGGGTGGCATCTGGGGGATGGCAGGGTTTCCCGTCTCTCCCACCCCATCACCTGCAGGACAGGGTGGGAGGCACTGGACTTCCCGAGCGCCTCTCATGCTGGGATGGTGATGCATTCTGAGGTGAGCAGGTGTAGGTACCTCCCAGGATCCGATTGTAGAGAGAGAGCCTCCTCATCAGACCCTGCCCCCAGCTCGGGGTCAGTCCCTCCTCAGAATCACACAGAGCTCGAGGCCCAGGCACTGGCGGAGGCCCAGGCTCTGCAGCCAGTGAGCCGCTTCTGCTCCTGGCTTCCCAGGGTTCCCAGAGACCAAGCTGTGCAGGCCCTGTGTGTGCCCTCACTTCCTCCCCTGCTGGGATGTGCCACTGTGGGGCTTGCCCTGTCATTTGGCCCTTTGTCCCTTTAAGGAGCCACACCCTATCCTTCACTTAGAAGAAGCCAAGTTGCATCAGAGACTGTGGGTCCATTTGAATCTCCCTGGCTGTTCCCTTGCCCTGCGGTGGCCTTCCCTGGGGTCCTTCAGGCCGCCAATGGCTGGCGTGCATGGCTCGGCCTGCCCCGGTGACGCTGTGCGCTGTGGACACCCACAGGCTGCAGTTAGCCCGGAGGTTCTGGTTAGCGCAGTGGCAGCAGGAGCATCCGCGCTGAGGGCAGCTCACCCGCAGCCGTCGCCAGAGTTAGTGGCCATCTCTAGACGATGACCAGCTCGGAGCCGGGGATGGATAATTTCCCACTAACCACTGGTTTGGTAAAGGCGAGGGCAAAGCCCTCAGCGTGCCTGTCTCCCTCCCCAAGCCCCAGCACATTAGCAATTAGCCACGTTAGGAGGCTGTAATTTTCCATAAACACAGTGTGGGAGTATTGTGCTTGCTGCTACATGGGCGGGTTAGGAGGGGAGTTGGGGGGAACAGGCCTGGTTCTCTCCCATTTCACCTCCGAGAAGCTTGCCTGGACTCCTTTTCTGCCCCAATCAGGAGGCAGAGGAACATGCCGGCTCAGGGAGAGCCCTGGCTTCCAAGCCCATCTCTGCCCCCCTCCCTCCGTGACCTCCCCCCCCCCCCCCCCCCCCCGGCTCTGTGATTTGGGCCGGGGTCTTGATCTCGTCAGTCTCTTCTGGTTCCTGTGGGGAGGACGGTGGCCTTAGGCGGTGGCCGGAGGTCAGGGAGACGTGGTGTGGAAGGCACTAGCCCGGTGCCTAGTGCTTGGGGAGTGCTGGCCAGTGTTAGCCTCACCTCCTTCCCCGCCCGACAGACCCTCCACACGGGGCCAGGTGACGGCATCTGCAAAGGGCCGCGGTGGCTCTCCTGTTGCCTCTCAGGTGGACACCGATGCCTTCCCCTGCAGGAGGGGCGCTGAGCAGAGAGTTCTAATGCTCACCCTCTCTGCTCCCTCTCTTCGTCCCAGTGGGACTGGGGAGAAATGGACTTTTTGGTTTTTTTATACAGTGAGGTTTGTGAAGTGATTTTAGAGAGCTCCTTGTGAATGTGTTCCCAGAATGCTGCCCTTCCTCTGCTCCTACGCCCAGGCTGGTGTGAGTGAGTCCCTACAATAACAGCGACTCCGTAGCTTGGGTCACCCTGGACCACCTGCAGGCGCTCTTTCCTTCACGGTCTCGTTTGAGCTGCTCCACAGACTGCAGGGATGGGACACACACCTCTGTCTCCCAGAGGGGTAAACTGAGGACCAGGAGTGTGGGGCAGCCCAGGTCTCAGGCTCCGCGGAGCCGTTGGAGAGCAGGGAGGAGCAGGCCCTCTGCGGCCTCCGCCAGCCGCTTTCCTCCTCACTGCAACAGCGGGCACGGGAGCCCTCTTCTGTGGCTCACGTTTGCTGTCTGTAGTTAACATTTGAGGGAGACGTGCCCCTGTTACACACAGTCAGACCGCACCCAGGGCCCCGCACAGACTGCAGCATTCTCGGGGTGCCCGTCTCCGAGCATCTGCTCGCTGCGTGTGTAAGCAAGGTGCTGGCACTGCCTTCCCCCTCGTCAGTGTACACTGTCTGCAGACTGCTCCTCCTGTGGCTGCTGGAAGGACACAGCCCGCAGCCGCGGCCAGCTGCAGGGGCCTGTGTGCTGCGAGGCAGCAGCGGGGGCTGGGGTCAGGTGCCGCTGCGATTTCTCGGGCTGCCAGGGCGGTGATTCTGGAGGTTGTGTTTCATGAGTGGCCTCTGGTCAGAGGTGGTTGAAATTTGAGTGGCAGGATGTAGATGTTCCATTTTTGTTTCTGTCTCCACCTCGCAGAGCCACGTGGTCTCTTAGGTTTATAACGAGACGTTTTCTGTTGACCAGGCCCTGGGCTCCTCACTGGCCCCAGTCCACGCTCCCCTTGGGGGCCTGGCTCCCTTACGAGGCCTCGTGGACGCCCCGCTCTCCTCTCTTCGCACGTCTCACGGTGTGAGCGTGGGGAGCTCCGTGGAGTCCGGTCAGCATGGAGAACTCACGCTGGTAAGTGCTTTTCGTACGGTAGATGCATTGAGTTACTGTGGGCCTCCTTGTACCATGCTTGGAATTATGCGGCCCACAGATGAGAAACAGAGGGCAGGGGCCGAGTCCTCGAAGCTCATAATCGAGTTGGGAGGTGAGTCGCACCTGTGTGCTGCTGCAGGTGGGCTCAGCGGGACGCCCCACGCCCTGGCACTGCAGGCCTGCAGCCGGGGCAGGGGCAGGGGCAGTGGCAGCCGGGACGGGAGGATCAGTGTGCACTGCAGTCACCAGGGGCAGCTCTGTGGATGTGTCCGGCTACCATGGGAGAAATCTAAACTGAAAGAGTGGGGAGAGCATTCTGAGGGTCATCTGAAGGTCTTCCTTGTGAGCCCCTTGACTTTCTTTTCTATTTTGGAGCCTTTGCAGGGTCTCAAGACTTCTGCTCATATGCAAGGTCTCTTGGGCTCCATCTGTGAGGACAAGAATGCGCTCAGCCTCCTGGCTTTAGGGGAGGAGACCAGCGAGGAGGAGGTGGAGAGTGATAACCAGGTAATGAGGCATCTTCCTCTTGTCCGAGAACCCTCGGTGCTATTTTTTTTGAAAAGTTTTTGTTGTGGTAAAATATATATAACATGAAAGTTATCATTTTAACTAATTTTAACTATACAATTAGGTGGCCTTAATTATGTCTACAGTGATGTGCAGTTGTCACCACTGTCCATTTCCAGAGCTTGTCCATAATCCCAAATAGACACTCTGTGGCCATCCTTCCCTCCCCGGCCCCTGGCACCTCTGATCTCCTTCCTGTCTCTGAATTTGCCTATTCCGTACATTTCCAGTAAGTGTGTCACACAGCATTGTCCTTTAACGGATGGCTTTGTGTGGCATAACTCTCCCAAGTTTCTTCCACCTGTGTTAGAACTTCATTCCTCTTTATGGCTGAACAATCCTCCCTGAGGGAACAGACCCCATTTTGTGTCTCCCTTCATCTGTGGACGCACGCTTGGGTTGCCTCCCCTTTGGCTAACCTCTGAATGACTTTGGAAATAAGTACAAATAACTTTGTGGCCACAGCTTCCCTTCTGGCCTGGTCTGTACACCTCTTAGTCCTATTGAGAACCTATAACCCTCGGAGAGCCCGGCCTCACTTGGGCTGTCCCGTTCCCTCCAGCCGACCACTCATAATCGTTTTTGTTTCAGAGTGTCCGCAGCGCAAATGAGCTTCTTAAGAACCTGCACCTGGACATTGGGGTGCTGGGGGGCAACTTCGAGTGTGAGGTGAGGTCCTAGGCCCCTGCGTCAGATGCCGCTTAGCCTGGGCGTCCCTCCTCACGGCTCTCGCCTTTCTTTCTCCCTGTGGAACGTGTGTTAGGAAAGAGAGCCGTGTGTCCCACTCCTGTCCAGACAGGATTTCCGGGGCTTGGGGAAGCACAAGAGGGGAGAGGGATTCATCTATTTGTTCATTTACCAAATAACCACCATTTATTGCACGTTCCTACAAAACAAGGCACTTTGCTAGGTGTGTAGGTCATAAAATGCTTAAAGTAGATGTGATTCCTGCCCTCTAAAAGCTTACAAGTCTCATAAAAGAGAGACCTAAAGGGCTGGAGTACCGCAGTGAGGCCCAGGAAGTGACAGAGGCCCGGGAGGGGGCGTGGCATCTCCTGTCCACGTGGCTGAACCAGGAGAGGCCACAGGGAAATCGCCCTCAGGTGAGTCGAGAACAATAGCAGGGCTACAAGCAGGGTGAGTGGTGGGAGCCCAGGTGCAGGGCACTGTGCCGGCAGGGGCCGGGGGGTGGGTGCGTTTGGGGAAGAGAGGATATAGGGTGTATGTGGGAGAGAACTGAGACTGCGCGTGGGCTGGGTTGGGCTGGACTGCGGAGCACTCTGTGCCAGCTCCGAAGTTTGGATTGAATGGCCGGCGTTGGCGGTCTCAGAGGTTTCAAACTGGGATGACCTCACCAGCTTCCGCACCCTGGTGGGGTGCTGGTCAGTTTAGGCCACTGTGCACAGGTGTGACTCACCCAGTGCCCGCACACTGTGGAGATACAGGTGTTACTGAGGTTTGGGTCGGGCTGGCCTCAGAAAATTTGCAGTGGAGAGAGAGAAAGGGTTAGGGTGGCGTTTAGTAAGTGATCAGTCAGTGGTGGGGAAATGAGGATCTGGGAAGCTCTGAGCAGGGTGGCATGTGCGTGAACTCTGGCACAGGCTTGCAGGAGTCTGAGGGAAGAAATTACTTGTTTAGAGGTCGGGAGAACTTGCTGGAAGAGAGGACAGTTGGCATGGGTCTTTAGAAGTGGGTAAGTTTTGGAATGGGGGAGGATGTAGGGGATATTTTAGACCGGCAGACATCTTGAGCACAAGGACTGGGAAATGCAGAATATGGTTGGGAATAGTTTCTGCAAATCCTGCCCTATTGCTCTGATCTCTCTCCCTGGTCTGGCCTTCACTGCCACTAGGATGTTCCTTATAAAAACAAACAAACAAAACCTCAAACTTATCATATTGTTGCAATATTCCAAAATTCCAGTGCACTTTTGTACTTGAAAAGGAACAAAATACTATATGTATTTTGGTGTGCATTCATTTTTAACAATTAGCATTTCTCTCAATATTCCCAAAGTATTCCCACAGCTAGTAAATCATGAGGTCAGCAACTCAGATTTCTCCAAACATTTAGTTATTGATTGCAAGCTTAGTTAAACTGTCCAAGTCTAGCATGCCACATTCTTTTAAAGTCTTCAAACTGACCGTTGAACAACAACGCTCGGGCCACAGATTTAAATTTGCTTTCTTAATATCATGTTCTTCTATTCCCTTACCACGGCACTGTTGTCTCTGACTCATGTCTCGGTCCTTGGCTGCCCTCAGAGCCAGGGCTGACGCCGCTGGCCGGTGGAGGTTGCGTGTTGGCTGACAGGCCCTGAGTCGCGGGTGGGTCTTTCCAGGCGATCCTGCTGAGCCACGGCAGCCCGTTTACAGTTAGCCTTCCTCTAGAACAGCGGTCGCCAGCCTTTCGGACATCATGGACCACACGGTCTGCGGATCACCAGTTGGACGGTCCATGTTGTTGGCTCTGTGTAATCAGATGCATTTGGATTGTGACTTTGACATTGTTTTTGAGTGTCCCGTGTTTATCATCAACCTGATCTGTGTCTGTGGTGAAACTCTTCCTTCCAAATGGGGCCTGGTCTGCGTGCATTACATCCCAAGCCTTCAGACGGTTTGCTTCCCCAAATGACAACTTTGTTCCTCTTGTTGATCATCAAGACCTTGTACTGAGGGTGGACTCAGCAGCTCGGGGTCTGAGCCCAGGAGGAGGATGTGAGTAGGAAGGCGGTGGTTTTCGGGGAAAGGATGGTCTCCACGAGACAGAGCAGATTGAGAGTGGAGAGTCTACCCTCCGCACGTCTGTGCCGGGGCCTGCCCCTGCCTGGACCACAGGAGGGGGCCTGGGCAGGTTTGGCTGAACAATGGAGGGGATGGAGAGGTGAGGGAATGAGCGGGCTGGTGGGGGCAAGGTGGGTCCTGGCAGGCTGGGCTGTTTTCTTCCCGTGGCTGTCCCGTGGCCTGTGGAGAGTGGACACTTGGTCTCTGCTGTCAGCAGGTGGATTGACGATCCCAAAGTGGGTCCATCATGATGAACTTTGACTTTATGCTAGTTAAATTTTGCTTTATCATTTTTACTTTAGTAAAAGTGTCAAAAAAAGGGGGGGAGGGGTAGATTTTCTTTGACATATCCTGGATTTCGAAGAGCTTTCCTTCTGATGATGATATGCTGTTTTGAGTGAGTGGATGCTTTTAAACATATTCCGTCTAACCTCTTTAGTACAAACAGGCCGCCTGTGTGGTGGGGCAGTGTCTGGGTGGGAGGCGTTAAATGCACTTTCCATCCTTGTCTCAAGCATCTCAGTAGATAGTCATTTTTGCCACAGGGAGAGTTAATTCCTGAGCTCCAACAGCAAGCAGGATCAAGGGCTTTCCCTGGTGGGGCGCGTGGTTGTGGGATGAGTGGGGAAAGCTGCCTGTGCGTGGGCCACACCCTCTGAAAACGGCAGTTGTCCAAGTGTCTAGATCTTATCCCTGAGGTGCCCACCTCTTCCCGCTCCGGGCAGCTCCGGCTGCCCTCGGAGAGGGCTTTTCAGTCTGCCTGACTCGTTGTCGACAGACACTTGCTCTGGATTCCAGGAGAGGGCAGCAGGATGGCAAGAATGACTCTCCTTCCCCTCCTCTCTGCCTTCCACGTAAACCCTTTTCTAGTCTGTGACAGAATCGGAAGGGAGAGGCTCGAGAACAGACACTGGAAATGGGTGTGAGGAAGAGGGAGGCATCAGGGTGGCGAGCTGGCCTCGTGCTGCTGGTGAGAAGCTGTCAGCCGATCCCAGGAGGAGCTGGGCGTGGGAATAATGGGATGATGTCAGTGTGACCGGAAGGTGCTAACAGCACCCGGGAGAAGTGCAGAGAAGGGGGAACGGCTGGGTGGGAACGAGATGCGGAAAATAGACTGCACTGATGATGGATTGGGGGGGGGTCTCCCCGAACAGGATGTAGCCATGGACACCGGGCTCAGCACCCCGCCCTCCATGCCCTTCCTCCTGGGCTGTGTGCTTGGCAGGACCTGGCTTCATGCTCTGGGCCCTTGTGGCTTTTGGGGGTGTGTGTAAAATAGGAAATGGTTCTCACAGGTACTCTCCTGCACCCTCCCCTGCAGGTGCCAGGTCTTTTTTGAAAAAGTCGCAGGAATTTGCTTTGAGATACCCGAGTCCCTGGGGCTGGGCCCGGAAGAAGGATCTGACCCCAGATGAGCTTAGAGCAAAGCTGTGCCCGGGGTGCAGTCCCTGCGCTGCCACCCCCTGTGCCTCTTAGAACACCGGCTCAGGAGACGCACGGGCCTGGAGGGAGTCCGGGCAGGGCCTTGGACCTGGGCTGCGGTGTGAGGAGGAGCAGCCCAGGGAAAGGAGAGGAGCGTGTTGTCTGATGGGCTTTGTACACACTCCCTCCCTCATCCATCTGTGGGCATTCTGAAGGAAGTGTCTGTCCTTCCCTGCACTGCGGTCACCAGCTCACTTGTTTTAACATGAGCCACGTTTCAGTGTGGTAACATTTGGGCAGGCAGGAGAGGATAAGCCCATTGTGGGAAAACCTTTTGAAAATCGAAGCTTCAGAACGGCCTGGGTGGGCCTAGCAGCCTTTGGCCCAGCCATGTCTCTCACGTGGACCCGTGTCCTCTGGCTCTGGATGGGCTGCTTGCTTTTCCGTCGTCTGGAATATCAGTAGCTGACATCTGCTCAGCGGCCTCTCACTGAGTGAGCAGGGTAACAGATGTCGTCTCATCCCTGCCTAGCCCTGCAAGGTCGATGACATCTCCCCTTTGTAGACTGGGTGCTCCATGTCTGCAGGACACCCTTCCTCATCTCTGCTGACTTGTATCTGCAGTTTCCTGACCCCCAGCCTCCGCCTCCCTCCCCGCGCCTGGGCTGGCAGAGGGCGTGTTCTGGTTGAGGCTGTCTTAGCCACAGTTCAGCAGATGGCTGTGGAGTTTTCACAGTTTATTTTTAAAAATCCAGTCAAGCATTTTCTATTGTGTGCGGGCAGGAGAATAACAGGGCTGATCCGGTGGCGGAAACAGACAAGGAAGCCGGCAGTTAGAATGCAGTGGCTGTTGTAGAGGTACTCTCTGCACCCTGCCGTGCAGATGCGAGGTACCTACCTGTACGAGGACGGGGAAGGCTCGTCCCAGGACACCTGCCCTGGGATGGAAGATGTGACGCTGTGAGGCTGTGAGGATTAGTGGTGGCGGTGGGAGAGGGAGAGAATTAAGGTGCATGGCAAAGTAGGAAACAAAGCATGATGCTTATTCAAAGGCAGGAAGAGAGATGTGTGCAGGGTGTGGCTGGGGAGGACCCGTGAGGAGGAGCAGGGGCTGGACCTGGTGAGGAGACGTGAACGTGTCCTGAAGGCCATGGGTGCTCTGCCCCCCATTCTCCTTTTTCATGGTCTGCTGCCTTTATTTTATTTTTTATTAAAAAAATGCTTATTGTTAAGAGTATTACAGTTGTTTTCCTCCCCCCCCCCATTGCTCCCCTCCAGCTAGTTCCTGCCCCAGCCCAGACCTTCACCACCTTATTGTCTGTGTCCATGGGTAACACATATGAAAGATCTTTGGTTAATCTCCCACCCTCTCTGAGATTTGTCCATCTGTTTCATGTTTCCATGCCTCTGATTATATTTTATTCATCAGTTTATTTTGTTTATTAGATTTCCTTATTTCTTTGA